TTCTTTTTCTTTTCTGTCCACATTTTTTACTGGTGCATTATTATAGTTGTACCTACAGATGGGATTTTTGTTACATATCCATACATGTACACAATATAACAATATAACTTGGCCAGTATCACTCCCCAACATTTCCCCTGTCCTTCCTCTCCCCTCATTCCCCAATACCTTTCCTCTACTGATCTCCCTTTGATTTTTTTTCATTAGATCCCCATTCCACCTCCCACCTTTCTTTTGCTTTTTATTCTCTAGTTTCTACATATGAGAGAAAACATTCGACTGTTGACTTTCTGAGTTTGGCCTATTTTGCTTAACATAATGGTCTCTAGTTCCATCTGTTTTCCTGTAAATGACATTATTTCATTTTTATTTATAGCTGAATAAAACTCCATTGCGTTCAATACAATTTTTCTTTATCCACTCATCCATTGATGGACACCTAGGCTGGTTCCATAGTTTGACTAATGAGAATTGTGGTACTAGAAATATGGGTATACATGTATCACTGTAGAATGATGACTTTAATTCTTTAATGATGAATTTAATTCTTTTGGATAAATACGGAGGACTGCTATAGCTGGGTCATATAGTTGTTCCATGCTTAGTCTTTTGAGGAAACTCCATACTGATTTTCAGAGTGGTTGTACTAATTTATAGTCCTATGAACTGTAAAAAAGAATATTTTTTTCTTCATCTCCTCTCCCGCATTTTTAAAAATTATTTTATCTTCTTTTTAAAGCTTTATTCTGTTTATTCTTTTTATGTGGTGCTGAGGATCAAACCCAGTGCCTCACATGTGCGAGAGACAAGAGCTCTACCATTGAGCCACAACCCCTAGCCCTTTTGTTTGTATTCCCGATGGCTGCCATTCTGACAGGTATGAGTTGATATCTCAGTATAGTTTTGATTTGAATATTTGAATTTCCCTAATTGCTAATGATGTGGAACATTTGTTGGTCATTTGTATTTATTCTTTTGAGAGATATCTGTTTAATTTATTTGCCCATTTATTAATTGTGTTATTTGTTTTTTTTGGTGTTAAGATTTTTTTTTTTTAGTTCTGGGGATTGAACCCAGAGGCACTTAACCACTGAGCTATATCCCCAGCACTTTTTAGTTTATTTTAGTTTATAGATAATAGATAGAGTCTTGCTGAGTTGCTTAGGCCCTTGCTAAGTTTCTGAGGCTGGCTTTGAACCTGTGATCCTCCTGCCTCAACCTCCTGAGCTGCTGAGATTACAAGTGTGTATCACTGTGACTAGCTTGGTGTTAAGTCTTTTGAGTTGTTTATGTGTTCTAGATATTAATCTTCTGTTAGAAGAGTAGCTAGCAAAGATATTTTCCCTTTATGTAAATTCTCTCTTCACATTCTTGTTTACTTTGCTGGGCAGAAGTTTTTTAATTTGATGTCATCTGATTTATTAACTCTTGACATCATTTCCTGAAAATTTTCTCCTATTGAGAAAGCTATTGTCTGTACCTACATCCTGGAGTGTGGACTCTTAAGTTTTCTTCTTGGAATTGCATAGTTTCTGGTCTAATTCCTAGGTCTGAGATTCATTTTGAGTTAATTTTTGTGCAGGGTGAAAGATAAGGGTCTAGTTTCATTCTTCTACATAGGGATCACCAGTTTTCTCAGCATCATTTGTTAAAAAGGCTCTTTTCTCCAATGTACATTTTTGGCGCTCTGTCAAAGATTAGTTGACTATAGATATGTGGGTTTGTCTCTGTGTTTTTATTCTGTTCTTTTTGTCTGTTTGTCTGTTTTTATGCCAATACAATGAAGTTTTTGTTACTGTAGTTCTGTAATGTATTTTGAAGTCAGGGATTGTGATGTGAGGCTTAATTTTAACTGCATTTTTTTTTTATCCTTCTTGGGGGTTCATACTTTAAAAAATTTTACAAGTTTTTTTTTTCATTAGTTTTGGAGATTTTCTAGCCATTATTTCCTCAAAAAATGTCTTCCTGCCAGGTCTTTTTATCCTTTATCAAGCAGTTGATTATCCCTTGGTATAGCCATTAGTGTGTTTGCTACATGAGGGTCATGATGACCAAGTCATAAGGGGTGGTTGTGACATGGTTTTGGTGATAAGGAAAGGTCACAAGAAATAGTGGTGACGTGGTCTGAAACGGGTAGGTTTCTTAAAGAATTATAACTATGATTAGGGAAAGTTCTGACATACCAGGCCCCCTTTTCTGGAAGTTCATCTTCTTTGACAAGTTTTCCATGATTTCAAGTAATAATTCCATCAAGGAATTATAACTATCTAGGTTGGGGAAGGCTGGACATTTTGGCTCTCATTTTCCAGATGTTTGCCTATCCAGTATTTCTCTATTGACAATGCATATCTTTAAATCATTATGAACATATTTTTAACTCTGCTGAGTATTATTATATAATTTAAAATGCTTCTCTCTTAACTATAACATCTAGGCCAACTTGGATTCATTTTCTGTTGTCTTTTTTCTTGACAGTGGGTCAGATAGGTCATAATTCCTATTTATTTTCTCTCCTTTTCCTTCCTTTTTTCTTCCTCTTCCTTTTCTCTTTTTTGAGACAGAGTCTCATTTTGTTGCCAAGGCCGCTCGTGAACTCATGGGTTCAAGCTATTCTTTTACCTGAGCCTCTCAAGTAGCTGATGAACTATAGTCTCCACACCTGGCTTCCTGTTTCTTACATTTCTAGTAAGTTTGGATTGTATTCGAGACATTGTAAATGTTATGTGGTAGAGACTCTGCATTCTGTTATTTTCCTCTACAAAGTGTTTTTGGTTGTAGTTTATTTGTTTTAAAGCAGATAACTGATTTAATGAGACATAAAATACAAACTAACTCTTAGGTGGTAGCTTAAACTTGGTTTTAGTTGTTTTATCCCTAGTTGAGTTATTGTTGTTTATATGCAGCCCTGCACATATGTGGGTCAGATATCAGCTAGAAATTTTTGCAGAGAAATAATTAGTATCTCTTCCATTCTGGCTCTCTGTCATAGCTGAACCTTCACTTTTTGGCAGTTATGTTTACTTTAAACTATGTGCTTTGTGTCAGTCAAAGAGTCTTTGAGTATACTGTTGGAGTCTATAGTCACTATGTGAGGCATTTCTTAAGTTAAAAGCCATAAAGAGTGGAAACACATTTTAGATCATTCCTTTCTTTGAAGTATCAATGTCTTTTGCAGAATGTCTTCAATGTTTTAGGTAGTCAGAGTTTATATTTTTTGGGGGAGGGTAGATTTCACAGTCATTTATTTTGTCCTGATAGAATTTGAACCTGCAAGGAGTCTATATTGGTACAATCACCTCAGTGAAGAATTTGGAAGTATCTAATAGAAGTTGAAGTTAGTTATATCCTTGAGAATTCTGGTCCATGTATATAAGGACATGTGTAAGAAATTTTTTTTTTGCGACTTTATCTTTTGTAACAGAAAAAAAATGGGAAATTTAAATTTTCATCAACAAGATAGTAAAAAAGTTGTGGGATATTTATAAAAGGAAATACTATATAGTACCAAAAATGAACAAATTGGTGCCTAATTAACATGTTTAAGATGGACATTTGAGCAAAAAGTATTGTTTTTTTGTATGTAGATTTTTAAAATTTGTTTTAATTAGTTACACATGACAGTACAATGACCTTGACATAGCATACATTTGAATCAGATGGGATATAATATCTCATTTTTATGAATATACAGGTTTTTCAGAATCATATTGGTCATGCATTCACATATATACACACAGTAATAGTAATGTCTGTTTCATTCTACTATCCTTCCTATCTCCCCAACACCTCCCCTCCCCTCCCATCACTTCTCTCTACCTAATCTAGGGTAATACTATTCTCTTTGTTTCTCACATCTTCATACATGTATTTTGTATAACAATGAGGGTCTCCTTCCACCATCCATGCAATCCCCTTCCTCCCTCTCTTTCCCTCCCACCCCTCTTCCCTATGTAGAGGTAATCTTCTTCCCATGCTCTTCCTCTCTTCCCCATTTTGAGTCAACCCCCTTATATCAGAGAAGACATGTGGCATTTTTTTTTTTTTTGGAATTGGCTAACTTCACTTAGCATAATCTGCTCTAATGACACCCATTTCCCTGTAAATGCCATGATCTTATTATTTTTTAGTGCCGAGTAATATTCCATTGTGTATATATGCCACATTTTTTTTTATCCATTCATCCATTGAAGGGCATCTAGGTTGGCTCCACAAGCTAGCTATTGTGAATTGTGCTGCTATAAACATTGATGTGGCTATGTCCCTGAAGTATGCTGTTTTTAGGTCTTTTGGATATAGTCCGAGAAGAGGAATACCTGGGTCAAATGGTGGTTCCATTCCCAGCTTTCCAAGGAATCTCCATACTGCTTTCCAAATTGGCTGCACCAATTTGCAGTCCCACCAGCAGTGTACAAGTGTACCTTTTTCCCCGAATCCTCACCAGCACTTGTTGTTGTTTGTCTTCATCATGGCTGCCATTCTTACTGGAGTGAGATGGTATCTTAGAGTAGTTTTAATTTGCATTTCTCTGATTGCTAGAGATGATGAGCATTTTTTCGTATATTTGTTGATTGATTGTATATCCTCTTCTGAGAAGTGTCTGTTCAGGTCCTTGGCCCATTTGTTGATTGGGTTATTGATTTTTTTTGTGATTAGCTTTTTGAGTTCTTTGTATAGCCTAGAGATTAGAGCTCTATCTGATGTGTGAGGGGTAAAAATTTGTTCCCAGGATGTAGGCTCCCTATTCACCTCACATATTATTTCTCTTGCTGAGGAAAAACTTTTTAGTTTGAATTCATCCCATTTGTTGATTCTTGGTTTTAATTATTGTGCTATAGGTGTCTTATTAAGGAAATTGGGGCCTTGCTCCCCCAAAGTGTTAAGTTTTAGAAAGACATGTAGAGCCTCCGGGTCCGGGCGGCGGCGGCGGCGGCGCTCCGGCTGCCGCTGAGCCGCCTGCTGGCCCCGCGCCCCACCCCCTCCCCACGGGCTGGGGACGGCCCCGCGCAGCTGGGTGGGCCCGGGAGCCGAGTGGCAGAATCCAAGGACCCTTTTTGTTTTTTCTCCATATTACTTGATGGGAGGCATTATGGCCCCCAAAGACATAATGACAAATACTCATGCTAAATCCATCCTCAACTCAATGAACTCCCTCAGGAAGAGCAACACCCTCTGTGATGTGACATTAAGAGTAGAGCAGAAAGACTTCCCTGCCCATCGGATTGTGCTGGCTGCCTGTAGTGATTACTTCTGTGCCATGTTCACGAGCGAGGGGTGAAGCAGGCCTGCTGTGAATTCTTAGAAAGTCAACTGGACCCTTCTAATTGCCTGGGTATCAGGGACTTTGCTGAAACTCACAATTGTGTTGACCTGATGCAAGCAGCTGAGGTTTTTAGCCAGAAGCATTTTCCTGAAGTGGTACAGCATGAAGAGTTCATCCTTCTGAGTCAAGGAGAGGTGGAAAAGCTAATCAAGTGTGATGAAATTCAGGTAGATTCTGAAGAGCCGGTCTTTGAGGCTGTCATCAATTGGGTGAAGCATGCCAAGAAAGAGCGAGAAGAATCTTTGCCTGACCTGCTACAATATGTGCGGATGCCCCTACTGACGCCCAGGTACATTACAGATGTAATAGATGCTGAGCCTTTCATTCGCTGTAGTTTACAGTGCAGGGATCTAGTTGATGAAGCAAAGAAGTTTCATCTGAGGCCTGAACTTCGGAGTCAGATGCAGGGACCCAGGACAAGAGCTCGTCTAGGAGCCAATGAAGTGCTTCTGGTGGTTGGTGGCTTCGGAAGCCAGCAGTCTCCCATTGATGTAGTAGAGAAATATGACCCCAAGACTCAGGAGTGGAGCTTTTTGCCAAGCATCACTCGTAAGAGACGTTATGTGGCCTCAGTGTCCCTACATGACCGGTTCTATGTAATTGGTGGCTATGATGGCCGTTCCCGCCTCAGTTCAGTGGAATGTCTAGACTCCACAGCAGATGAGGATGGGGTCTGGTATTCTGTGGCCCCTATGAATGTCCGACGAGGTCTTGCTGGAGCTACCACCCTGGGAGATATGATATACGTCTCTGGAGGCTTTGATGGAAGCCGACGTCATACCAGTATGGAGCGATATGACCCAAACATTGACCAGTGGAGCATGCTAGGAGATATGCAGACAGCTCCAGAGGGTGCTGGACTAGTAGTGGCCAGTGGAGTGATCTACTGTCTAGGAGGATATGATGGCTTGAATATTTTAAATTCAGTTGAGAAATACGATCCACATACTGGACACTGGACTAATGTTACACCAATGGCTACCAAGCGTTCAGGTGCTGGAGTAGCCCTTCTGAATGACCATATTTATGTGGTGGGGGGATTTGATGGCACAGCCCACCTTTCTTCAGTTGAAGCATACAACATTCGCACTGATTCCTGGACAACTGTCACTAGTATGACCACTCCGCGATGTTATGTAGGGGCCACAGTGCTTCGGGGGAGACTCTATGCAATTGCAGGATATGATGGCAATTCCCTGCTGAGTAGCATTGAATGCTATGACCCAATCATCGACAGTTGGGAAGTAGTGACATCCATGGGAACCCAGCGCTGTGATGCTGGTGTGTGTGTTCTCCGAGAGAAATGACCATTGTTAGAGCACCATCCAGAGCTAGTGACCAGTCCAGAGGACAGATTGTGGAAGAGTCAAGGATCCTTTCCAGAATATCTATTTCTCACTGTGTGCACAGAGTGATTACAAGCACCAGTGCAGTGATGATTGTACTTATTTGACCACAATCCCCCTCGCGCTGGTAATATCCCACACAAGGGTGTGAAACAGGTACCCAAGGGAAGAGAATGCACAGTGAATGGATGTGAGACCAGATAGCCTCTCCCTCTGGTCTGGGGAGCACTTTCTTATTATTTCTTTCTTAACCATGTGCTTGGGAGTGTGTGTGTGTGTTCTGCCTCTTACATTGCAGAGAACTAAGGTGGGTATGGCCTCTACATATAGACAGTACCCAGTCTAAATGATTGGAGGGATTCCAGCTTGAGTAAGCTTGGTAAAATCCAAGTCCAAGTCCCTCCTGCCCCCACCCGGGAACAAATACCTTTTCTAATCTACAAAGAGCTGAGGACTCCACAGTTCCATTCAGAAAAAAAACAAAAGGGAGAGCCCTATCAAAACTTTGGGGGCCAAGGGAAGAGTTCTGTGTGACATCCCTTAGGGGAAAAGGTTTGGTATATCCAAACTGAGGTTAGAATAAGTGACATGAACTGAGTTTGATGGGATGTGAGTGAACCTACACTACCACTAAATATAACCTAGAAGACTGAGAAGGATATATTATGTGAAAGATCTTTTTATTACCCCAAGTTCTTTCTAAAAGTAAAGTGCTGTACATCTTGGAACTGGAGACTGAGAGAATACAGAATGAACAAATGTTGGAATGAGAGGAGATGGCTTAAATATACCTGGGGATAAACTAGAAGTACCTGTGATTTTACAATCATCTTATTCCCTGCCAGGGCTCTTGTAGCCATGGCAATGTTTATCTTGAAAGGGTGAAAGACTTTCTTTGTTGAATCAAATACTACTACACTATTACGCTATTTATTTGGGGATGGGGTGGGGGGTGGCAGCAACCTGGTAAGAGCACACTTCTGCTAAGAAGTGTTTTTTACTGCTGTGTTTGGTACATTTAGTCTTCTTCCTGCTATAAGTTTCCCTTACCTGTCTTTCGAGTGAATTTTATTCATCCCAGGACAGAATAATCAAGAACAACCAAAATTCTTGTTAGTTCGAGTACCTCTGCTCTCACCATTTCTGAGCTACCATTCAGACCTCTTCTGTGTCATAAAGTTGTTGATTATGGGTATAGGAGTGTGGGAATGTGATAACTTAAAACAAGGATGCACTTTCCCTTTGCTCTGGAATTCCACTTTTTCCTCTTTCTGAGTTGTATTGACCTACAGAATTAATTTCCTTTGTATTTTTTTAAGAAAATAAAAAAGTCAACTGTCAAAAAAAAAAATAGAAAGACATGTAAAATTTGGCAATAATTGTACAAGTTTTAATAAACATAATCTTATTTATTTATTTTCTTTTGGAGTGCTGGGTTTTAAACCTAGGGCTTCACATATGTTTGGTAAGCACTCAAACACTGAGTTACACCCCCAGCCTCTATTTTTTGTGTTTCTGTATTTCAAGTCCTTCATTAAACAACAGAAGGAAATGTTTGGAGAAGATTTTTTTTTTAAATTTATTTTTTAGTTGTAGTTGGACACAACACCTTTATTTCACTTGTTTATTTTTTTATGTGGTGCTGAGGATCGAACCTAGGGTCTCACACATGCGAGGCGAGCGCTCTACTGCTGAGCCACAACCCCAGCCCCTGGAGAAGATTTTGAAAAGTGCTACAATATGAAATCAAGGGAAGAGGGAGTTTTAAAAAGCAGCAGGGAGAGATTTCAAATGCTGGTATTTGTCATCAAGAAAAGTTGGGCTGGGGTTGTGGCTCAGTGTTAGAGTGCTCACCTAGTACATGCAAGGTGCTGGGTTCAATCCTCAGCACCACATAAAAATAAATAAATAAAATAAAGGTATTGTGTCCAACTACAACTTAGTGGCAGAGCATTTGCCTAGCATGTGTGAGGCCCTGGGTTTGATCCTTAGCACCACACACACACACACACACACAAAATTAAACAAATAAAATAAAGGCATGCTATCCATCTACAACTACAATTTTTTTTAAGTTATAAAAAAGAGAGAGAGAGATAAAGTAAGCCAGGTGTGGTGGCCCACACCTGTAATCCCAAAAAGGAGGCTGAGTCAGGAGGATTACTAGTTCAAAGCCAGCCTCAGCAAAAGCGAGGCGCTAAGCAACTCAGTGAGACCCTGTCTCTAAATAAGATACAACATAGAGTTGGGGATGTGGCTCAGTGGTTGAATGCCCCTGAGTTCAATCCCTAGAACCAAAAACAAACAAATAAACAGAGAGAGCGAGAGCAAGAGCGAGAGCGAGAAAGTAACTGACTATTAGGAACTTATTAGTGACTGATGAGAGAACCTACTTGAGCCAGGAGTTGACAGCAGATGGAGTGTTAAGGAAGTTCAGGCACTAGTTGGAGAAAGAGAGCCCATTTATTAGAGTGCAGCTTTTCTAGGATAGGAAATTTATCCATGTTTGTAAGCAGAAAGAGTCATGCTTAATGAAATTGCTAGGGAGAGGGACATATAGAGATCAAATTCTGGAATAAATGGGAGTACATTTTTAATTAGAGGTATAGATTAAGAAACAAAGGGCATTTCATCTGGCAATGAGAAGAGGCACTGCTTCTACAGTAGAAGAAAAGATACAGAGAAAGGTCAACCCAGTTGGAGATAAAGAGAAGAAAAGAAAAGGTGACGGAGTTTATATTTGTTTCATTAAAGGAGTAAGTCAGGTCATATGTTGGCCTGGAGGAGCTGGGCAGTGGAGATGGTCCGGATTGAGGAAATACCCTAGTCACAGGTCTGAAGGCTGAAGTTGTGAGAGCCTCGACTCATGATTAGGATATCAATAAATTGGTTAATGCAGACTTTGAAAGGCCTTAAACAGTCTGAACTAACCTGAGAGACTGCTTGCATTTGAGCTACTTGAGCAGTAACACCAATAACAGCAATTACTTGTATGGCAGGGATTGTTCTAGTTCTCATAGTATACTCATTCATTCTGGACATTAACTTTAAATGTGACCCTAATAAGGGTCTTTTGTGAGTGAGAACATTGAGGCATCGAGAAGTTAAATGACTTTCACAAGATCCCTCAGCTCATAAGAGGCAGAACTGAGTCTCAAACTTGACTAACTCCAGAGTCCATGACCTTAAAACTGTTATATTCTCTCTCAATGGGAGGTTTATTAAGACAAACAGTAGAAATAGTAAGCAGATGAAGGGAGAATAGTTTTCCAATAGATACTTTGTCCTTTGTTTCTGTTTTCCAGGACACTTAAAAAAAATGCAATTACTGTTTTCTTAATCAAAGCTTCAAGCTTCCCAGAAATTTCTGAATAAATCCTTCAGCTTTCCTTTAATCATACAAAATGTTTATCATCTTCTCAGAAATGTTCATTATATTCATATTCAGAATGATTCCAATATATTTTTATCCAGGATTAACTCTCCATCATTGCTCTTCACAGAATTATTTATCTTTGACTGAAAACTGGAACTTCTTTTTTTGGGGGGTGTGGTTGAGGGGGTTTAGGGAATGAAATATGGTATAGGATGATAGCCCCATCATTCAGTCTGGCATTCCAAGGCCTGAGGCAGCAGGGTCCAGTCACATATATATGCCAAAGCACCAAATCCTACTCCCTGATGAACATTTTGCAATACCATGAAACTTGGCCACTGTTTCATCATAATGCAACTTCATTATAATGGACAATCTCCATGTTGTTTGAGGGCTTTTTTCCTGGTCTCTCAGAAACATCTTTTCTTGACATTAGTTCATAATATTTTTTCTTAATCATCAAAGATTTTAATTTGCTAATTTGTACATATCATACAGAACTTAATGTTCTTTCCCTAAAATACGGATCATTCCTTTTTTTTGTGTGAGATAGAAAAATATTTATCTAGTAAACGTTGAAAATCACTGATGAATTTATAATTCCTATAGCCTCAATCAACTTGTTATAACCATTGCTCCTCAGGTTTACAAACTAAACTATTTGAATGAAGAATGGTCACAATGGGTAGCAACTGGACAGTACTTTAATTTTAAAGAGATTTTCACATCCATTATCCTGTTTGACCTGCCCTATAACTCTTTGGGTGACAGGGCAGATTTTATTTTTCCCATTGTATAGATAAAGAATCTAGGTTTAGGGAGATTAAAAGATTAGTTCTGGAGAAGTAAATACTGAACTGGGTCTTCAATCTGATTTTTCCTGACTCCAAATCCAGGTTGAGAATGCTTCTCCACTTTGTAGTAGACTCTTTTGGCATCTTTCTATTAATATGCATGATGCCCTTTTCTATTGCCTTCTTTTCTATTGGCTTCGATTCCCCAGCAGAGGGGCTTCCTAAGGTGCCTGGATTTAGACTGGACGTTTGCAAGGGAGCACACCTGGGTTCTTCCTGTCTCCAGTTTTTCATCTTCCTTTTCGGTGGCCTTTCCAGCTTCAACATCCGTGGAAATCTCCTCCTTTCTCTAGCCCCCACTTCTCAAGTCTTTTTACAGCCCCTGGCAGTGGGACCTCCCATCCTTAATCATCAGCAGGAGAGCCCATCCGCCAGGGGAGGCAGAGGGCACGGACCGCAGCACGCCGGGAAGCCATGCTAAGGGTTACTTCTGCATTTCCTTCCTCGCGGTCCTCAGGAGCATCCTCGTCGCCCTCCGGCCCCGGCTCTCTCCAGCCCGCCCCGGATCCGCCTCCCTCTCCTTCCTCCCGGAGATTGAGACGAAGTCTGGGACGCACCTGTGTCCCTCTCCGGTCACCGCGTTGAGACACTGGGGGCTGCTCAGGGAGCAGGATTTACAGGCCCGGAGCACGCCAATGGGAGATCCAAATGGTCGGGGACTCCGGCACTTTAAGAGGCTTTTCTCTGGGAAACACCCGTCCCCTCCGTGCGCCTTATGAATGGAAATACTCCTCCCCCGGTCGAGCCCATTTTCCCATTTCACCAGGAGCCGCAGCTTGCTCTCTCCTTTCGGTCTCCCCGCCCACATCAACGCGGGCAGCTCCAGGAGGGGACGGACAGGAAGCCTTTGGCCGCCTATT